GTTGACACAGATGCTGGCCAAAAGCATTGATAAGTTCTACAAAGAGAGAAGTGGAGAAAAGGACGCCCTTTGGGAAGTCTGGCTGGCTGTCCTAAAGAAGAAACGTGCGCGCGCACAAGCCAATATTGTGTTACGAGCTGATAATGACGGGCACGGGCCAACCAAGCCACCGGTACACAAAAGCCACGCGTAAGCTAGGCAGTGTAACCAGAGGCAGGAAAAGAGCTCTGAGCAGGCAAGGGCTCTGGGGAGTCGAGCCAGGCTCACTAGTCGAGCCAGACTCACGAATCGAGCCAGCTTGTAAACCACACGCTATGGGGTTCACGTCTACGTGGACATCTGGAAACAGATATCTCGCAGAGGGCGAGCAGGTATAAAGGGACTACGGGAGAACTTAGATTGTCAGATAGTTTGACAGTAGTCAATAGATCATTATCACCGAGACCAGTATTATGAGCATACTTGTTGTGAACCTTTTGGCTTCACCGAACAGCACTGATAGTTACTACCTTTAGCTATCTCATTTAGGCAGATCAGACTGCCGTTCGTCACATATTGTCTGCCGCGAGAGTGGAGCACTCGCTTGGCAAGATTGCCAGGCATTTCAGCCACGGGCACTAGCCCCATGACAACTGCCTTGTACTACCTTATAGTATAGAAGGCTGATTGAACTATTTCTTCTACGGAATCAGTCCACTCAGCCTCTACAGAACGTGCTAGAATACAAAGGTTTTGCTACTGTATTTTGAGATTCTCTAACTTATTTAGCATTTCTTCTAGACTAATTTGTTATTATAGAATGCACTAAAAGCTCATAGATTCAGTCCATTCTTTCTATAGTATAATGTTCCTACAAGCACTTTTATTAACTTACAGAAGCTTCTACACTCTGGAAGCTTCTAGATATGTAACGTTCGTGTATATAAAGACCTCTTCTCTCCTTTGGTTAGTTACTTCTTAAGCAAGCAAGCACAATCAAAGCAATACAATACAGTTTACTCCTATAGTGCAGAGTTCACTATACTCTTCTATCTTGAGAGTAGAGTTCTCTCTAAGACCCCTTTTACAACATCCCTCTTGTCACAGGTTGGCATTGGCTATATAGTGTGCATTCCGAGTTTTGTCTTGCAAGCAGAACATCGTCTTATCTTTTGTAGGTTTAGTCATCTGGGCATATGCACCCTAGCTTGTCATACCTCTATTGTCTTTGCAACTACGCTGCTTCCTTCAGCACTGCTGTCGTACTTCCTACCGCATCCGCTCCGCTTTGCTACAAGTGCATAGTTCACTGTAGCATCTCTATACTGGTGCTATTATTATTATAGGCCAGTTAGGGCATTGCAGCAAACACTTATAATATAAGTCTTTTTTTTTTTCCAAAAAAACTACGAAAGTTAATTATTAATATAAGTAGGCCTTGTAATTTATTAAGTATAATAAAGGGTTTGTATAAACAAAGATTATATTTTACTTATAAATTTAATTGTATTTTATTTGAAGGATTGGCTTCTAATATAAAATAGCATATTTAAAAAAAGATTTTCATTATACTTAACGTTGCTATATATTACAATTTCAAATATATCTTTCCAGTAATAATATTCATAAATTTAAAATACGTCTGTATTAAGTATTTGTAAAATATAACGAAAATATAAAAGTAATAAAAATAAAATAACGTTGATTTAGTAATATTATGTATGAAATTTAGTAATGTGGTAACTACTATAATTCTTTTTATAAGAAAACCCGCTTTTCGTTTTTATTAATAGGGCAAAAGTGCGCTTCCTAATGATTAAATTTATTTAAAATAAGTTAATTGTTAATATAACCGCCAAAAAAAGTAGCAATGATATTATAGCTATTGAAATAATTATTAATGTAATTCTTACTAATATTAATACGGAGAAGGTTAATAAACGTGGGAACTACACCGCTACGAGCTAAAATATATTTAATAATCGCTACTAATTTACGTATATTTAAATTAGAGGTATATATAATTAATATTTCAATATATAACTGAATAATATATAGTTTGGATTATATACTGACTGTAAAGCCAAATTCGTTCCTATTCTATATATTATTTCGTAAAATATTATTTTTATTAACTGTCTTCTTTTATAATTTAAATACTCTCTCTATACTAACCCGCAACTGAATTACTTTACGCACTTACGCTAGCGACTTCGTTTATATAAATTTAAATCATAATTAAATTATAAGCCAACGGACCTATATGATAGGCTAGGGTGCATATGCTCAGACGGCCAAACCTACAAAAGATAGGATGATGTTCTGCTTGTAAGGTAGAACTCGGAATGCACACTATATAGCTAATGTCAACCTGTGATAACCTATTACTAATTAATTATAGTATTGCAACTATTTATTCGAACGAACTATTTAACTGCATATGTAGTTTCCTAATTCATAATATTATATCTTATTTAACTACTAAAACTATTAGCTAACAATTAACATTAATTATAAGTAACTATTATAAACTAATTAAAGTTTGCATATTTACTTATGTAAGGGGTACAGCATAGTTGACACAGATGCTGGCCAAAAGAATCGATAAGGTTCTACGAAGAGAGAAGGGGAGAAAAGGACACCCTCTGAGCAGTCTGGCCAGCTGTCCTAAAGAAGAGACGTGCGCGCGCACAGGCCAATGTTGTCTGCCGCGAGAGTAGAGCACTCGCCTGGTAAGATTGCCAGGCATTTCAGCCGCGGGCACTAGCCCCATGACAACTTAAATAAATAGTGCAAGCTCTTCCTCTTTTAGTAATTTCTTTATTCCACTATTATACAACCGTAGTTTTATTCTCTTAATTTGATTTATAGTAGCTGTCACGGCGCTGGCAGACTACTATACCACTAGGCTATGTTTGAAAAGGATACAAGTAACCAAAGCTGGCAGTTCAATCGCTCAAGTGGTCTTATATAGTTTGTTCCAGAAGAGGCACCCGAGTGCATTCCGTGACAGTAGCGTAGTAATTAGCGCCATATATTTTTACTACAATAGTAATTGCTTTAAACTTTTCTTCTTTTATAATATTAATAGCTAAATTAATACACTACTTATTTGAAAAACTAACAAAAAAATTACTTACAAGCTGTATTATATATAATTTTACAATTAAATAACCAACTCATCAATAGTATTAATACTAAGATTAAATAACTAATAGCAACAAATATAAGTATAAAACGATTAACCATAATTAAAATTAGCAAAATTATACCTCGTACGCAATTTAATACGTTAAAAACCAGTAAACACTGCTTAGTAAAAATTTATATTAGTTATATTATAGCTATCAATTTATACTAACTACTAAAGCCTTCAAACCAATATTTGGTAGGTTGTGATAGGTTCACACGGTTGCCCAGGTGGGCTGGAAGTTAATTTACTTATAATAAATATGCAAAAAAACGGTAGTACCTCGATTTGCTAACAAAATGCGGGGTTTTCTAAGTACCAGGTTTTTTTTTTTCTTTCGCAAATCAATGTATTTTCGCGAATCCGTGAGCCAGACCCATTGCAAGCAATGGGTCGCCGGTGGCGTTTCTAGCCCAGACGAGTAACGCCTTCCCGTAAACGCAGCCAAACTGTTCGCAAATAGGAAGGAGTCCAGAGCTGCGAAGAGCCGATGAGGGGAACTCAGCTGAGCTTTTCTCGTTGCACTCCTGAACTTCAAACGAGACATCTCCTCACTCTTCATCTTCATACTCGGATGCTCTAATCGCAGACGCGCCACATCCGCCTCAACATCACCGAGAACTCTTCACGAGAGTCGGTCTTTTGATATTTACGGAGGAGATCGTCCTGACGCCTATGCCGATTTGTTGGTGCTGGCGGAGGGTGGCCAATTGGCGGCATACGAGAAACACAGCCTCCAGGGGTCATCATCCCTTCCGTTGTCTAAACCAAACCAAACAAAATCACCGGACAACTGATTTCGGACCAGCACAGGACAAACACAGTTCACCAGCTATCATTGTCACGGGTTTGAGCCACAGATACCTTCCACTGCCGTCTTATACTTCAAGCCACAGTTCACTAAACCGAGGAGCTTGACTTCTCCCTGTCAGCCGCGAAATCAGCGGGTATAATCAGGACGACACAATCTCCAGGGGACCACGGCGGCACCGCAACAAAGAAGCTTTCAGCCAGCACCTAGTCTGATCCAGGAACCGGCCAGGAAAAGAAGTGCAACAATTGTCCCGATATTGGATCCGTCCGCTCGGACAAAAGCATTTGACAACAAGCCAGTGCTCGGTCATCAGGGGGTGTCGGACATCCACATTTCACTAGGCTGCCGCTTTTCCTAACTCCATTACCCAGGGCAATCTTACAGGATCTGGGCGGTGCATACAACTAGATCTGGATCATTCCCGAACGTCCATCCAGAGCGGAATCCCCCCACAGTCACGCCTTGCTATTACTGATACACTGGATGAACTCTTGTATCTGGCTCATTGATAAAACCCTTGCCCTGACCGCCGCCTGACCGTTGTGTTGTTCCCGAAGCGCTCTTGCCATCATATGAGGTTGAAACGGGTTCACGGTACCAACCGAACGGAAACTTTCTTTGTTGTATTTATGGAAAGCAGGCGGCTTAGCTGACTTGCAACCGGTTCCTTCTCTGTTTCTCCTCATATTCTTTAACCCACCCACCCCCTTACACCCGCTTCAACGGTGCCTATCAAGGCTCTGGTCTGTTGGGTGTCAACTCGGTCATTAGTCTTGCACCCATATCTATCTTCATCCTCCTCCGGTCGCCACATACCTGGACCTTCAAAATCAACCACACAACTTTACCATCTGGCACAATTTGCCGGGACCTAGACAACACCATGGATCGATCTGGATCACCAACGTACCGCGAGCGCCGGGGACCGCATATATATGTCCATCTGGAGGTTGGCATATCATGGACTTCAAAGAAACAACCGAAGAGCCATGAAGTGACATATGGGTCAAGAGGATCAAAGGCCGTGCGCGAGAAGGCGGTCCATGAGAAAGAGCAATGTCCGGGCCCCAAGCTTCCCCGTCAAATGTCAGCCCCAGATCCCACCTACCTAGCCGCCATCCACGATTTCGAGCAGAGGCAATCAAGGACTCGAGAAAACCGGAAAGCTGCTCGTCCAGCCCCAAGTCCAGCTCCACAGTTCGATGTCTCGATACCGGACGGTCGTCTTAATCCCTATCACCAAATGCAGGAATACTATCAAGTGGCCGGATATTATGGGTCACCTCAACACGCAACGTCATCCTGGACACAGCGACGACGATCCCGGTCTGGGTCGAAATCTGCCGGGGAGAGGGGTCAATCGGCACCACCACCCACTGGTGATAACCCGTGGGATGTAGGATTGGTGGGGGATCAAGCGGCCGGAGCATCGAACTCAAGACCAGACCTGTCTCCGCGTCCTCCATCGGATGTCTGGAAAGCCCTACCAGCGGCTCCAAACCAGTTTCGTCTCGGAGAGGCCGGCATGCCATGGTCATCACCAATGGTATTTGACACGGGGGCGGGTTCAAATGATGATGTGTCCGACCTACCATCGGCCCATCATCGTCAAGACAGCGTACCGACTTTCCATCCAGATGATGAAGCGTCCATCTACGAAGCGAGCCCTGTCACAGGTGTCTCTGTTTTCTCGCCTGGGCTGAGTAAATCACATACTCGCGGAGACTCCGAACCAGCTAGTGTACGAGACCTGGAGGACCTATCAGCAGCAATGGTGACGGTGGATAACGGGTTCGAAAACCAGTGGTGGAATCAAGGGCAGCGCCGAAGCATGGTCCCTCCAGCTCCGATCGAAGAACCACCAGCCCTCAACAGAAGGATCTCGGTACGGTCACTCGGCTGGGCAGTAGCAAACAACAATCAGCCACCACAAGAGGAAATACCGAGTATGCCCAGCATCGCTGCATCCGACATTGTTTCGCCCCTGTCCGAGTACTCGATACCAGCCTTCGGTCCACCAACGACTCACCATACTCTCCACCGTTCGATATCAATGAGGTCTGCGGATGAGATGTGGTTGACTACCAGGCAGTTCTGAGGATGAACTTGGACACATGAACACGACAGGTAGAGATAAGCCTGGACGAGGGTACAGGGAGAAAAGGGGGTTGTATTCACGTATGGTTATTCATGGTTGGGCGTTTGTGGCATATTCTGTGATTGGTTTCAATCTTTTGGTGTTTTTTGTTTTGTCTGTTTTATTCGGAGATATCGACACGGTCGTTGACGCAAGGGACCGCAGAAATCCGATGTGCTGTGCTGGAGAATAGCTATGCCCGGGAGCGTGTAATATCGTGGAGTTTTTTGCGCTTCATTACAATCACTGCGCTTCATTACAATCACAATGGTATGATGCTGTCTTTTTCTGGTACTCGGCAATCACTGCATTCTCCACGCTCCCGACTCTTAGTTCGCACTCATCGGCCCAAGGCCGACATTACTCATACACTACATGCATCATATTCAGTCTCACTGCTATTCTCTCATGGATGCCAATATGGTACATGGATATCAACCATTCTAGGTAGTCCTAGGGCATAAAACCTTGTCAAATCCGGCCCCCATTACTGGAGGGAAGAAGATGCACATGGACCGCCAGGGTTGATATGCATGTCCATCCAAAAGAGGCAAACCAGCGGTAGTTGAGACGGTCGAGGCACACCTCATGGGACCAAGAAGCGGCTTTTGGCCCCAGGACCGGTAATATGAACCGTGTTGCGACTATGCAAGGCATGCGGAAAACTATGTGATTTCGGAACAAGTTGATTTAAAACCACAGGACAGCGGCACAGCCAGACAAGAAAAAGGCTTGTCACGGGCCGCTCGACTTACTCCACCGCCACGAGAATCCATATGGCTCACTCATCAACTTGCAGTGGAAGTTTAGCTGTTACACACCTATACCACCGGCAAGACAGTGTTGGTTCCAGACTTTGCCACGTCCATGAACCTCAATGAACTCGGTCTGGTTCATGTTACCATGCCTTTTTCTGTGCCTCGGTTTCTTGGTGAATAGAGTTATTACTCCGGCACTACTCGTGGGTATGTAGGGTGGCTCGTGGGTGGTAAGGGTTCAGCCTCTGTATCATCATTACTGTACGCAGCAATGTCCACTAGGCATCAGTTTAAGAAAACGGAGACTGGGCTAGTTACTATCATCACATCCATTTCAGGGGCTATTGCCAGTGAGGATATTGCTAAAAACTGCACCCCTTCGGGCGTACCCGACATTGGGAGCGGCATTCTAGGGAGTAGTCAAGGAACGGAAGTTCTTCCGCACACATACAAGGTAGGGTGCTTATTCTCACACCTGGTCCTTTCCCCTAGTCTAGAGCCTGAGCAAGAGGATCCCTAGGTTTGTCGTCGGTTGTCACATCCCACCTCACTGCCTGCTAACTACTTCTTCCAGACCCGCGGTCCACCCTCCCTCCATGGTTAAGTTACCAGAGTCCGGAGTACACTAGACCTTGAAAAGAAAAGAAAGAAAGGGGGGGTGACAAGAGCACGTTTTCATGAAACTTTTCAGCCATTATGTAAAGTAACCCTGAACCTAGTTTTCGTGACTAAAACATTTTTCCCCGACGGTAAGGTAGGTAGCGTTGTCATGAAGTTTAGTAGCGTAGTCTCGACTCAAGGACCCTTCCCCCCCCCCCCCCCCCCCCGCCTTCGTTCTCCGGATATAAAGGAAATACTGTACGTCAAGAGAGGCGGCTGTGAGCGGCCACGCCAGTCAAGCTTCTCGGTGAGCATCGGAGACGTGATTAAAAGTGACGAGAGGGTTAAGAAATGAAGAGAAGTAAGCTAAGTACGTGAAAGCGGTGTGCTGTTGAAAATATACACCCAAGCAATAATTACGACAAAGATCAGAAAGAGGATTAGATTAGTAAACGTAACCTGCGCTCGTTTTAATTTACGGGATGATTACCTCGTCTACACTAAGATCCTTAATCTGCGCATGCGTGTCTCTTCCATTCGATGCTCATCCCCAGCGACACAATTGGAGAGTCGCGGCATGCAGAAGGAAGTCAAGCCATGCTCAGACTCTCAGAGAAGTACTGGACTCTTCATTACACTACTGTCGCGAGCACCTGCGGTGACCACTATGTCACTCGCCGATCGCCTCGCTCAGGTCTATTAGACAATCTCCCTGACCTCCAAAAAAGGCCGAACGCAGACCCATACTTCAAGTGCCACCAAGCGTTCGGCCTTTTTCGTGGGGACGGAGACAATGTACCAGGCAGCCTTCATCAAAGTAACAAAGTAGCCAAAATTGTTTCATTATGCAACAGACAGTGAATGAATGAATGAGAGGCCGAGTTGGAGCCGGACCGGATGGCGTATCAAAGGGTAGAGAATTGTGTTGCCTAGCTCCCTCCCCGATTCGCCTCCACAAAAGTCAAGTGTCTGTTCTCCCTTGGTGATGGTGATCCGGGACTGGATTCAAAGAGACGGGGAGCCCATCGAAGCTGCACTTAGCCATAGTAGACTTGATTTATGTAGAGATAAGTGCAACTAGCTGAAATCATGAAAACTCTGGAAGAAAAATCCTTTACTTCGGTCCAAGTCATCCCATATGATGTGCTTAGAACCTGAAATTCCACAAGAGCGATTCCCGGAAGGTTGGCCAGACCTGAGGAGTAGCACCATATTGGTCAAAGCTGAATGGCGGAGTAAGTTTAAACCTCCGGTTACTAGGCTTCATCAATATGTAAAAACACATCGATCAACTAACTGGAGTTTAGAAGGTATTCGGGCCAAGCAATGGAAAGTGTCGAGACTCAAACAGGAAGGATGAAGACCGGACAGGAATAAACTCCAGGCTTCCGCATTTTCAAAACCCCGTATCCCTGTCGCAGGTCCCCACTTTCTCCTGTCAGACGTTCGTCCATACGGCTGGGTTCCTTTCAGGGGGTAGTGAAGATCGTAGAGCCGAAACGGAATAAAACATACAATCTAACCCTGGTTTGTTTGTTAGTTTGGTACAAAGAACGCCCGATTCCGCAGCCTTCGAGCTATTGAGAGTGGAAAAGCATAAGATTGGAGCGGAAGGGGATTGCCCTCTTATATCTTCCAACTTCCAAGGCCTTGAGGGTGACGGAGAGAAGCATAAGGACAGACGGAGAGGGACAGAAAGCGGCTTTGTGGCGTCCTAAGCCCTGGTCTCGGTGTCTGTTGCTTCAAACGAAAACCTGAAGGAGACTAATAAGAGTACCAAATCTCCCCTGTTTAACCCCGGTCCGAAGTACAAAACTAACAAACAAACCAGTCTTGTATTGTACCTTAGCTTTGTACCTTTTTTGTTTCATTCTCTCTTTTCATCATGTATCACGGTCGGGGTTTTCGCGGTTTTTTTCTTTCTTTTTTCTCTCTTTTTTTTCCCGCTCGCTTTGGACTTCGGCAAAGTTGGGTCGCGACTTGCTTCACTCAAATCGTTTTATCCAGTGTACACGGGCTTACACCCGACTAACATTTACGGTCGAAGTTAAGCAGCCGGAAACGATACCTTTGAAAGATCGCACTAAATACCATTTCCTCAACTCATCCAGCAACTATCCGGATATGTCATACATCCCAACACTTTCCACACACCACCCCTTCCCATCCTATTTACTCCTTATAAGTCAACCCACCACCCCAGCTGATCTGGCTATTCTTCCCTCCTCTTGTGACCTTCCCCTCCGTAACGCCCGTCTCAAACGCACAGCTACCGAGATCCCTCTTATTCTCCGCCGCCTTGAGCGCCGCGGCGGGAGAGATGTCAAAGTCAAAGATATCCATCGGCAGACCGAGCGTGGTGCAAGCGTTGGGCACGTCCACGATACCCGCCACGTGGCCCTGTACCGGCGCGCACGAGAGCAGGAGGTAGATCTGGTAGTCGGAATACCCGAAGCGGCGGAGGTACTCGATGCAGCGCAGGACGGTTTGGCGGTAGGCTACGGTGACGTCCATGTAATCTGTAGGTATTGACGAGGTCATGTTAGCTCTGAGCTCCAAACTGTGGTAGAGCGGGCGGGCGGTGGTTATGGGGAAGGGATGATAGTTGGGGAAAAAAAAAAAAAAAAAAAAGACGTACGCTGCTTCCCGTGCTCATCAACCGAGAACCCCTCAAAGTAAATATACCTCCCCGGCCCAAAGCTCGGCTCCACGGGGCCCGGGATGTAGATAGGACTCCTGAGTCCCATCCCCTCCACGCCGTTTTTGATCACCTTGAAGTTGATGGTAATCACACCCGCCATCTCGATCGCGCCGCAGAACGAAATCTCACCGTCGCCCTGCGAAAAGTGCAAATCACCCACGCTGAACTTGGCGCCCTCCATATGCACAGGCAGGTACACCTTGGATCCCCTGCTCAAGTTCTTGATATCGCAGTTGCCTCCATGCTCAGGGCGTCCAGGTACCGTCCTCGCTCCTTCCTTGGCCACCTTCTCGGCGACCTCCTTGCTGGCAGCGCCGGCGTGCGCGTTGATGGGCTGCGGCAGATGAGCGACGTCGCGGTCGGCGAGGGGGTTGGCGGCCACCAACTCTCCCTCGCGCTTGTTCCACGTCGCCAGCACCTCGGCCGAGGGCGCGCAGCCGAGGATGCCCGGGTGGATCAGGCCGGCGAACTTGACGCCGGGGATGTGGCGCGAGGTGGCGTAGATGCCCTCAAAGTCCCAGATGGCCTTGGCGGCCGAGGGGTAGATCTCGTCCAGGAAGCCGCCGCCGTTGTTCTTGTCGAAAATGCCCGTAAACCCCCACGGCCGCTCCTGGAACGGCTGCACGTCCATGATCTCCACCAGCAGCAAGTCACCGGGCTGGGCGCCCTCGATCTCAAAGGGTCCCGAAAGGTAATGGATCCTGGTTAGGTCGACGTTCTTCATGTCGTCTGCCGAGTCGTTGTTGCCGATTTGCCCGCCGGTCCAGTCGATGCACTCAATCTTGACGGTCTCGCCGTCGGCAATGGTGCCGGCAAAGGGGATATCGGGGTGCCATCTGTTCTGTAAAAGGATAGGACGCTTTAGTTAGATTTGAGTCTCGGAATTGAGGGTTCATGTTGGGTTAAAGGAGGGGAGATTACTAACATGGAGCTGAGGCTGTTCAGAGGCGGGCTTGTCGAAGTCGACTTTGCAGACGGTTCGGATCTCGGTTTTGCCCATTTTGTCTATTTCTTTCTCTCTTACTGTTTATCCTAGCGGTTTTCTGTTTGACGGTATTTAGTTGCAATTCCGGCTATGAGGAAGTTGGTAGGTAGGTGGTAACTGATGAGTGTCTGGCAAGAACTGGTCGTAAGATTCCTGGATTAGGAAGAACGTTCAGGATCAGAATATCGGTTCGTCAACATAGAGGAAAACTGATCAAGTAGGAAAGACGTGGTATTTATATCCCCAGTCTTGTCTCTCCTCGAGCATAACCAGCTACCTATCTATCACCCGGTAAACCAAGGCCATGACGGGGAGGAGGAGCAAGTGATTGATACCCCGCATCTTGGGGGTATATCGGCGTTATCGGCGCGGTACTTAGCTGCCAATATCTCTCAAGTTTCGATAGCTCCTACTTGAGACGCTGATCAACGGAACCAATGTTGGCAATTACCAAATCAGAATGGCATATGGGCGTCACGATTATTGTCCGTCGTGCCAAAATGAGGATCCATTGGAGCTAAGTAGATATTGATAACCTTATCGCATCCCGAATAACACCCGCGTTGTTCCCGCGCCCCGCATCGCCCCTCCGTTCAAGCCGAGCTACTCCCGTTCAACATAGGCAGAGGCGATAAGATAGGAAAGAAGCATCCGGATGGAAATATTTGTGCTTCTAAATGTTGTGGTAATTGTGGCAATGTAAGTCTATCTATGGACCTTCGAATGTATGATTGTATCTGGTTTGTCATAGTATTCCTGGATAGTGGGCATACACAGATGTTGTCTATTCGTGCCTACATCTACTTGGCGAAATTTGACGACATGCACTATCGAGATATCGAGAAAGTCCAATGATCTATGTGAAGAGTGCGATTTGACTTATGCTTAAGGGTTGTGTTGTATAGGATCGGGAGTCGCTTTGTCGTTTCTACGCCGCCTTACACCAGTGGTGTTAGGTTGCGGTTAGGTCGCCCAGACTTTGAGTTTATAGCTCGGATTTGGGATGCGGGTCAACTGCCGAATATGGAGGCGGCTTATCATGAATGCTGTCCATGTTTGCCAACGACAGGCTGAGGAACTTCTGCTTGTTCCTCCATTCAAGTTGGCTCTCGGCGAACCCGCTGGACTCTGATGGCGGCGGAGGCGGGTCGGATACCTTGGTGATCAGATAGGCGGCGCTCTGTATCATCGGGATCAGCACTACATCTCACAAGGCTCGAGGTGGGATAACTCACAGCTTCAGCAATACCATAGATCAATACTCCAAGAAGGGGAACACGAAGAAGGATGTAGAATCCAATACCGAAGCCAAACAGGAGACCCTCACGGCTGCGGAACCACTTTCTCTTTTGCTCACTGGTAAACCGAATTCTGGCAAAATACGGCTCCAAAAGCTCCCTCACAAGACTCCTCGAGGCGAAGTAGCTCTGCAGGAAGATGACGAGGTACCTCCTGGGGAGGAGGACGCCGGTGCCAAAGATGACAGAGGCGGGGCCAAGACCAACAGCCCTGTTGAATGTCCAGAAAGAGGCTGCTGGAAGGACGAAACGGCCAACATAAGGCAGGTATGAGGCCGCAAAGACGGCGAGCGAGATAGCACCTTTCCTGGCGAAGCGGTAGATAAACATGGAGATATTCTCGGCGGTGCTTGTCGAGTTCGTGGTCCCGTCTCTGGCCGTGTATTGGCGCAGGTTGGGATAGTACATGGACCGAAGCTTGCTGGGGTCTTGGTCGTGCTTATGCTTGTTGACATAGGTTGTATCGACCCATCTGATCGAGTCCATGAATCTGTAGGGCAGCTGGTTAACAGACTTGTCCGAGGAGTAGAGGTGTGGCCATATGGAAACAAACAGATCATCCAACGTCGGAGTAACATAGCGCATCAAGCTCATAAAGAATAGGGGCGCTTGAAGAACGTGTTCCTCGACGAAGCCAAGGCCGCCGACCAACTTGTCGTCCCAGGTAGCATTGCTTAGATCAATCCCAAAGGACAGGAACCAGAGTAAGACCCTGATGCCGATAATCTAAGAAAAGGCATGTTAGAATGGGCAACCATACGCACGCGAGACGGGGCGAGGGAGAAGAACTTCACATACAGGTATGGATATCAGCAAGCGGATGAGAACGCCAGCAGCTACGGCAATGGCGGCTTGTTTATAGTGTCGTGAGGTAAAGATGCCAGGATTCTGTAATGCCCGTTGGGCTAGGTAGACACAAAGATGTCAGTTAGTAGGCGGCATTGGCATCATGGACGGGCAAGACCTGACGGATAGGCGCACCGCGCAGGAAGATCGAGAGGCAGGAGTTATAACATACCACCAACAAGCGTCAACTGGACACCTCTGATGACGGCATTGAGGTCGAAGTGGGAAATGTCGAACTTTCGTTTTACTTGTTCAGCTACAACGTCGAAAGACTGCCGCCTCTCGAGCCTGTTGGCGGTAGCCATGGCGATGGAATGTCGGGTGTGGGTGTGGGTGTGTCCGTTCGTCCGGACGTTAAGTCGTTTGGAGCTTGGATCGGATGAAAATGTGATTGCGACAAACGCCCTGTGATAGAGGGGAAGAATGCACGACTATGGTACGGGAAAGAGTTGAGAGCTTGAGCCCCTGTCCTGTCTTTGCACATGCCAAAGATGATGTCAACAGCCCACCGTGCCCGCTCTGTGGACCGTGCTCGGAGGGCCCGGAGTGATCGACGTCGCGCTAATACCAAAAGGGTGCTGTAGGTAAACCTCTAACAGCCGCCATGAGCTCTCCATGGTAACGGCTAGGCCTCATCATGCAGGTTCACCAAGATAAACACCATCAACGACAACGGCCCGTTATACCTATGCCTAGGAGATCGGATGACGGTACATGGCGGGAACAGCGCATTGCTTTCTGCATTGACATAAAGAAAGAGCGAGCGGATAGCAGAATCTGTCCGTCACTCATCAAGCAAAGCGGGTCCCTCCAATATCCAAATCCCCTCCCCTTGCGTTAGCGCATCCAGCCTGCCGATGGCCACTGCGTCTTCCCTACGTGGACACTACCTGGAACTAGTCGTCCAGCCTAATTTATCGAAATAATTCTTTCCACGTTTTCCGCGCCCCTAGAATCAATCCCCTTTGTCCAGTCCGACTTTCGCTCTTCTCGGCCAGCTGTTTGTTGTTGCTTTCCGATTCCTACTCGATACCTACTGAGCCTACCTACACGCCAATATTGACACAGCGTAGCATTGTGACGTCGGCCGACCAGACATCGAGAATCGTGCCATAACTCTATCGAGACATCCTCAGCGACTCATCCTGATAGAAACACTACGAACGCGCCGACGACCAGCACCCCATTGTTGCCTCCGATTTCGCTCCGACCGTGGCCTTCCCATGTGCTGAGCCTAGCCATCTCTCCTCCGAGCCACAATGCTTTCCGCGACATCATAAACCTGCGAACAATGGAGTTCTCGAATCCCTTTGCCGATACGGTTCCGCGCCGCAACTTCACGGCGCCTATCGGCTCTCATATCCAAAGACCATCTACGTCTGCAGGAGAGACAAGCAACGCCTTGGTTGATACCCTCTACGACCACCCTTCCGTCAAGATCACATCCTTTACCGCTGGAAGCCGACCCCTGACCCTCGGTCCCACTCCTCCCGATACTCCTACCGGCGTCGAGCCGGGCTCTCTACCGTGGTCTTCCCACCTGGAAAGAACTATTGCTGTCGGTATGTCTCCAAACGGGAGGAGCATTTACGGCTACGGCAGTCTAACAACATCATATTTACAGGACATTTCAGAATCTACCGTGCCCCTGGCTCAATTACCTTCCTCAACTGTGGTTCCGCCCTCCAACCGATATTCCCAAAAAGCCAGGCTTGGTGTGTTGACGAGGATTCAAGCAAGTTCATCCTACAAATTCGGAGGCCTCAGTACTGGCGCATCGAGGTGCCTGTCGAAGACCCGGAGGATATACAACGCGCGCAACTTTTACGTGAGGTTTTTGACCAAATCCTACAATTCGAAAAGACCGAATGCCCTTTCCAGCGATCCTTCACCGTCGAGCTACCCGAACGCCCACAGACGCCGGTTATTAAGAGGCCATGGACTCCTGCTAGGAGATCTAGTGAATCCACCATTCCAACTCCGGTCAGCGCGATCACGATACCCGCCCAGATAGCCCGTGTACACCGGGGCCCGCCCAAAGATGACACCATCAGAGTGCGCAAGAGAAGGGCAACTGGCACCACGAGCCAGTCGGCCTTACCCGCCAGCGATGATTTGTTTAGGATACAGGAGGATAACGCCGTTCCAGTACCCGACATCACACTCACAAGTCAGCCGGAGGAGGAACCACAGCAGCCAGAGGCTTCCTCGCGGAGCTTCACAAAGACTCCTCTTATACCGAGCGGCCAGCAAACTAGTCATTCTGTTGTCGCACCTCCTCAGCTAACATTGGTAACTGTACCGCACTCTACCGAGCCATCCATACATCAACTGGACGGCCATGCGCCAGACATGGCCGGATCCCTGTCTTCGGTAACCTCCCGCGACTCTTTCCACAGTGTACGATCATGTAACTCTCATATTCTTCCCCCTTCCCCACCTCTATCCAAGCCGACGTCTCCTTCAGGTCTACTTGGGAAGAACAGCGAACCAGCAGACGACCATTCAACCCTTATGTCAGATACGGGAAATCGATCTAACATTCCCCAGACATCGAATACCAGCCCAATAGCAGTGGATCGAAGCGCCATCTCCAGCTCCACCTTTGACGGCAGAGCTCCCTCTTCTACCCATGACATCGACTCACCATGTAGTCCTACAACCGCAGGACTAATACTGGTCACTCCGTCGCCCAATGCATCACCGACTTCGCGGTCCCCATCTCCCTCCCTCACCCGTCGTCGGTCGCTCATCCGCGGCCGCGCAACAACAAGCAGCAGCATATCCCCCAGCAGGAGAGCGCTCTCCCCCCTACCACGCGCTGCCGAATTATTTGCCCCTCGTCAAAGGGCACCTTCTTTCTCCTCCAGCAAGCTCGAAGTAGTGCGCAAGCTACCCATGACAGTTATCAACAAGTCCTTCGAAATCCTGATGGCACCCCCCACGCATTTGATGAGTCTCATGCTCACCGTTGCGGCGCGTATTACTGCTGGCCAAAAGAGCGGCGCAGTCTTGGGATCCGGAGAGGGAGGCGAGAGGATACCTGTGCAGTGGGATCTCTCGGACGAGACGGAGGACAGTCCAGGTTTTCACCAGCAACAGAAACCACCAGCAGCGGCAGCAGCGCCATTCTCATCGGGGAGAAGGTGGAGTGTCTCTCATGTGGGCAATGATGACGACCACCTGCCTCCGCATATGCGAGGGCGGGAAAGGGGGATGAGTCTGAAGATGGCGGGAAGCTTTCCGGAGTCGGATGAAGAAAGCGAGAATGATGACAACGGGAACACATCAAGTTCTACACATGACCTTCATGAGCCCGCAGCTCGACGAATCGGTGCTGCCAAGGCCGACGATGACGGGTTAAGGCTTGATGGGATAACCGAGGACGATCCCAAGTTCGACTGGAGTCAGAGCATGGGGGTCGATTAGATGGCAAGTGTGGTCTCACTTGGCCATTTCACATCCTCGAGACCTGAAGTCATGCCTTCATCTGCTGGACCATTCACCTCCATCATTCGACAGTGCCCCTCAATACCACCTCCTCCAAGTCCATACCTACTGCGACAGAGCGAGATTTAGCACACCAACTCCCTCAGCTCTCAGCCCACTCAAACGTGGGAAAGGGCTGTAATACCTGTGCCAGTACTGTTTTAGTTTCCTGTAATTAATTTAGTTGCTGCTTAGAACCAAGGAAGGGGGGTAAAGCGTTGGTCGTGGAATAATGACGGATGGGGCGTTACCATGTATGCTGCATGAGATAGATAGATAGATAGATAGATAGATAGATAGATAGATAGATAGATAGATACCCCTGTTGCGATGTTTCCCTTTGATACGTGGTGGGTTCTTAAGAAGCTTTAGAAAGTAGGCGGCTTCAACATCGGGGAGAGCAGGATAAAGATCGAGGTCCAGGTCGAGGTCGAAGGAGAGGGAGAGACAGAAACAGAGGCAGGAGGAGAGGCACAGTCAGAGACAGAAGCAGAGAGGCAAGGAAGCCCACTGTTTGGATACCCGGACACTCCGAAAGCGGGAGGTATTAAAGGAGCAATATAGCGGGCGAGCAATCCGGTCGGTGTAAGCTGGAGTTAGTGACGTGCTGGTTGGTCTAGGGATTCAAAGTCATGGGTGGACGCACGGGTCCATAGTCTACTACCTGCTTGGAAGAATGAGTCGTATCCAATGAATAGGGACCAAGTTCGCGAGTGAAGGAAGATTGATCACAAAGGGTGCTTCTACCTGTCCCCCCTCACTCACCTTCGTATCAGTCAGTATCTTCAGTAAGAAGGTGATGTTGTCACCACTATACACACGCCTCCAAGTCCTGATATACAACGAGGCAAGGATTCATGGCCAACTGAGTAGAATATACAGTTTCAAAGAGTGTCACGTCGAAACATAATCACTACATGGCAACTCTAGACTTGATTGTATGCGTGCATGATTCATCATCTTTTCATTGCACTAGGTACTTAATAGTTATAAGAGAATTTGTTACTATTGGTTTCGTTTTCAGTCCCGTCCTGAGACGCCGCGATCAGATATTCTGAACCCATCCATGTAGAGAAAGAACACGGGGAGGGAGGGTAAAATTGGAATGATAACGCAACTGAACAACACTGTATATATCCCCTTCTTCTGTTTCCTTGCATCTATCCGTTTCGTGTATATCAGATACTCGTCAACTTTGCCTCCTCGACTTGTCCAGACTGGTGGTTATTCTTCTTTTTCTGTTAATATCGTGACATCATCACCTTCGGGAATCAACGCTTCCTCTTCCATTCTCTCTTCCAATGTCCAGCGTGGGCCGGACCGAGGAGCTCGAACTCCGTCTTCTCCTGGCGCGTTGCTCACTAGGGTCCAACGGTCTCAGGCCACTCGACTTTGCAAACAGGTTCAGGATATCCGTCAACGATACCACACCCGTCAATCGCCCTGACAGTCCAGCACCCGGCAGCGCCGAAGCCGGAACCGAGGAAAATGGTCCTTGGGTTGACGGCGACTGAGGCGTCGACGTCGTGATAGCACCTGGTGGAGGCACAACAACGGTTGCCGAGCCAGGGGTCGGACTACCCGTTCTTCCGGGCGAAATAGCCGGAGGTGACAACGTTGAAAGGGGAGGCAAGCTGGAGGAGGCCTGCAGTAAAGGCGTAGCTGGGGCGCTGGGCGACGGCGAAGCGGACTCGACTACCCACATACGATGAGATTGCGTCGCAACCAGCTTCGCAACCGTGTGAGCGAGTGTCGAATACGGGTTAACGTAGAAAACCGGGAAGGAGTCACGACCGTGCTCGACACCGCGTTCGGAGAGGATAACACTGATGAAATGCATGCATGAGGCCTTGAGCAGAGGCAGACTGTTGGCGTTGGTCAGGTGGCGCACGTCAACGGTGGAGATATTCCCAACAACGTTATGGCCATTATCAACAACCGCGACGGACGTGAGACCCTCGGAGCTCATGAGGAAGAGAGCATCCGCAAGAGGAGCATCGGCGCTAGGGGTTGTTAGCTATGTTGTTTTCTGAAACCGGACGCCCTGGGTAGGTAAAGCGGAGTTGGCTTACTTGACGGCAATGATTTGCTGCGTCCCAATCTGAAGATCACGCAGCACGATCGTGTAGAGACGATCAATCAAGGGAAAGTTGACTGCCTCGTTCCAGAAGAACTCGAGCAGGCGCAACTGACTCAGAATACCCACCACTTCCGAGTCCTTGTTGGTCACCAGAATACGGTGAACGCCGCCTCCGAACACTTCGATGGCCTTGTCGAGGGTGGACTCGGCCGGGATCTTCACCAGTTCCTCCTTGCGAAAGATGGGTTGGAGGTCGCGTAACGGAATCTCTTCTTGAGACTGGGCTTTGACGGAAATGTCCCTATATAGAGCAACTTGTTCTTCCTCGGGCTTTGCGAGGCCTACCACGGCCAACAGGTAAGCATTGAGATCACTGTGGTCGAAGGTAGACATCGCTTCCTTGGAGGACGAGTCCTGGCGGACAAGAACGACATTGTTCGGACTACTTTGAAAGAGGGTCTGGATGGTAAGTCATAATCTTTATCAGCAAGGACCCAGTCCAACGATTCAGATGGGCACAGAAGTACTATCGCACCTTGGTCGCCTCCTGGATGCTCATGTCCAGTTCCGCCCATTTGACCTCATCCGGCTGCAATAACTCGCCAACGGCAACATCCCGCCAATCGCGGCCGACATAGCGAGGGTTTTGATGGCGGTTCGGCGGCGGATGATTCATCAGGTCTTGAATTGCTTGCTGTGTGAAGGAGGGGTGTCTCTGTGTACGCGGCGAGGGAGGCGGATGACGTTGGTTCTCAGCGAAGCTCTGGCGATGCGAATGCGAGGAAACATTGCTGGCTGTTTTGGACAAGGGGATGCCGCCACCTTGAGAGCTGGTGCGTTCTGGAGGAGACGGGAGCGAGGCACCGGACAAGACAGTGTCAGAAACCGGGAAGCCGGGGTTGGTGATGGCCGTCGTGCCTGACGAGGGCGATGTTGGGAATTCAGATGAGGACTCCATCGAGACTTCGACTTCGGTTATTGTTATTGTTGTTGCTGGGTTGATCGGGTAACACTGTACGTAAGCTGAGGCACTCGCGTCGGACACGGCGATGATGCGGATCAGACCAAAGGAACTGAGAAAGAACACTGGCAGATTGATCTATGACGGAAGCTACTACTGGTATCTTTGCCAAGTTCCAATGTGGCCGCTGCCGTCGTGGTCGGTTCTGCTATTCGGAAGGTTTAATATGTCCGTAGAGGTAGGTACGTAGCGTTCGAGCTTGTCTGCGATTTCAGGATCGTTGCTGTCGCCGTCTTTGTGCGACCAAGCGTACCTGTACAGGAAAGTGTAGAGGTATGGAGTAACAAAGTCCAGACCAAACCGAGAGAGAGAAGGTGAAAACAAAACTAGCGAGTAAAGCATTGACCAGTCGAGAGCAGGCGGCAAGAGCAACAGGAACCTATGGCAATGTCCGCCTGCTTGAGTCCCAGAAACGGGAGAGCAATGACGATGGTCCAGTCGCGGCACGTATCCTGAGTCTACAACTGACAGGAGCACCGCCTTAACGTGATGGTGCGGGGTTGCCCCTGTCTAGCCTATGCGCGGGAAGCACTAGCCTCCCCTCATTCAAGGCGGTCCTGCTACTGTCACACCGAGGTGTGCAATGCATACCTCTAGGAAATAAGGTCAGGGCACGGCTGAGGTGCGAACTGAAGGTGCCTAAGCCTGCACCTTTTTTTTGTCGATTACCAAGCGTATATTTGAGCTCATGAGTCGGGCTCTGTTCGTCATTCTTGCCACTCCCTCTCTGGGCTGAGCCATCGCCTTTCTGCTTTTCCTTGCCGTTGATCATGATCATCACAAAAACGGCGTGCCCAAAGTTGTGCAAGCTGGGGCCGCCCTGGCCCTGGGAGCTTGGGAAGGAACGCCTGAGCCGGATGGACACACGGGCAAGATGCTGCTGCCCCACTCTGTCCTTTAGCGGCCTTCTGATAGTTGTCAGATAGTCATTTACTGCGAATCCTATAGGAAACAGCGTTGCGCCCTAACAAAGCGCTAGTGACTGGACGGGAACCTGAGCGCTTAATTGAGGTGGGTTCCAGTTGAAGTCGAATCCAAATGTCTGCCTGCCCGCCCTAGGTAGGTACCTACGCTATGCCGAGAGGTGCTTGTACCCTACAGTGTGCCCCTCGGCCCCCTCCATGCGCTCGGGTTGGCCAGACCCAACCAAAAAAAATATTGTCCATTCTTCATACGGTCCTCCCCCTCTTGCGCCCACCATTCCCCTCGACCCTTTTGAACCAGTCCAGAGCCATCAATCACGAATTCTCGACAATCCAAATCCACCTTTGACTGGAGCAAAGTCGAGTTTCGGACGCGTCCTTTATCGCGACTCGATCCATTCAAGTTTCGGGTCTTATCAACAGCCATCGTCGACGCCCTGCTCTCCGCCGTCGTCAATCCAAATCATCGACTTGGCATCTGAGCTGCTTCCCGCCTTCCCCCATCCGCACAGTCGCCGTGTCCACCTCAAGTCCGTCCTCTCTGGTCTGCCTTCTCCCAGTCCTCAGTCCGCATTCGATTTCGGCGAAGAGTTCTGTTGTTTGTTGGACCATCATCGTTAACCACATCCCACCTTTTCCAGAGCCCACCGGCCGCCGACACCCCAGGGTCGCACATTGTGTGTAAGGAGTGCAGTGTGATTTGCGATTCACTCTTCTGCTCCCCGACCCACGGCACCAACCAGACACAACTAGGCCCTTACTTCGCAACAAACATCATTCATCATGTCGGTTCTTCCCGCCGATATCACGGCCGAGCTGAGCCAGCTTCTCCAGGCTCTTCAGTCGGCCGACAACAACATTCGCTCTCAGGCTGAGGAGCACTTGCAAAACAACTGGACCAGCTCCCGGCCCGGCCTGCTCTTGATGGGCTTGGCTGAGCAGATTGCCGGATCAAACGATGCTTCGGTATGACATTCTTGCCTTCCTCTTTTGCTTAGGCCGGTCGCCTCAGCGCGTCACTGTTCATATATACTTACTCTCTCTTGTACCTTGACAGGTCCGTTCTTTTGCCGCCGTCATCTTCCGCCGGATAACGCTCAAGACCCGCAAAGCCACCCCGACCTCCGAGGCTGCTACCGATATGTTCCTCTCCCTTGACAACCAGGAGGCTGTCGCTGTTCGCACCAAGATCCTCGAGGCTATACTTGCCGAGACAGACAGAAATGTTCGCAACAAAATTGGTGACGCAGTCGCCGAGATTGCTAGGCAATATTATGACAACGACCAAAATTGGCCCGAACTACTCCAGACCCTCTTCAACCTCAGCCAAGCACCCGATGCTGGCAAGCGCGAGACGGCCTTCCGTATTTTCCACGCTACTCCTAGCATCATTGAGAAACAACACCAGGATGCCGTAGCTATGGCCTTCGCCAAGGCCTTCACAGACGAGTCGGTTGCCGTCAGGCTTGCTGCCATGGAGGCTTTTGCGGCCTTCTTCCGCAGCCTAGGAAAGAAGAACCAGGCCAAGTACTTTGAACTCCTCCCTCAGCTCCTCAACATTCTTCCTCCTATCAAGGATTCGCAAGATTCGGACGATCTTAGCCAGGCCCTCATTGCTCTCATCGACTTGGCCGAAAGTTCCCCCAAAATGTTCAAGACCGTCTTCTCGACCCTTGTTGGATTCAGCATTTCGGTCATTCAAGACAAGGAGCTCACAGACCTCTGCCGCCAAAATGCGCTGGAGCTTATGGCCACCTTTGCCGACTACGCCCCGTCCATGTGTAAGAAGGATGCTTCTTACACCAAGGACATGATTACACAGTGCCTGAGTCTGATGACGGATCTTGGCGAAGATGACGATGATGCGGCCGAATGGCTTAGCTGCGACGATCTTGACACGGACGAGAGCGACTCCAACCATGTCGCTGGTGAGCAGTGTCTCGATCGTCTGGCCAACAAGCTTGGAGGTGCCGCTATTCTTAGCCCCATCTTCGGCTGGTTGCCTAGCATGATGAACTCTCCGGCTTGGAGGGACCGTCACGCTGCTTTGATGGCACTTTCCGCTATTTCGGAAGGCTGCCGCGAGGAGATGATTGGTGAGTTGAGGCAGGTTCTTGACCTCGTTGTCCCGGCTCTCAAGGACCCCCATCCCCGCGTCCGTTGGGCTGGCTGCAATGCTCTCGGCCAGATGAGCACCGACTTTGCTCCCACTATGCAGAAGCAGTACTACGACATTGTGCTTTCGGCCATTGTGCCTGTCCTTAATGCCCCCGAGGCACGCGTCAAGTCGCATGCTGCTGCGGCGCTTGTTAACTTCTGCGAGGAGGCTGATAAGAGTGTCCTTGAGCCTTACCTCGACAACCTCTTGTCGCACTTGTTCCAGCTTCTCCAGAACGAGAAGCGTTACGTCCAGGAGCAGGCTCTGTCCACCATCGCCACCATTGCTGACGCCGCAGAGCAGGCGTTTGCGAAGTACTATGATACTCTCATGCCCTTGCTGATGGGCGTTTTGCAGCGCGAGAATGAGAAGGAGGTCCGCCTTCTCCGCGCCAAGGCGATGGAGTGCGCCACCCTGATTGCCCTTGCGGTTGGAAAGGAGCGTCTCGGCGCCGATGCCATGGCGCTGGTGCAGCTTTTGGCCAGCATTCAGCAAAACATCACGGACCCTGACGATCCTCAGGCCCAGTACCTCATGCACTGCTGGGGAAGAATGTGCCGTGTCCTGGGCAGAGATTTCCTTCCCTACCTGCCCGAGGTTATGCCGCCACTGCTCGAGCTCGCTAGTGCCAAGGCCGACATCCAGCTTTTGGAAGACGACGAGCAGATTGAGCAGCTACAGACCGAGGAAGGATGGGAGCTTGTACCCCTCCGGGGCAAGACCATTGGTATCCGTACCAGCACCATGGATGACAAGAACATGGCCATCGAGCTGCTTGTAGTGTATGCTCAGGTCCTTGAGGGTGACTTTGCGCCATATGTCGCGGATATCATGGAGAAGATTGCTCTTCCTGGCCTTGCCTTCTTTTTCCACGACCCTGTCAGATATATGTCGGCAAAGCTTGTCCCGCAGTTGCTCATTTCGTACAAGAAGCAGTACGGCCCCGATTCAAACGAGCTCAAGGGGTTGTGGACCAGCACCGTGGTTCAGCTTCTCGAGGTCCTTAGCGCCGAGCCTGCCATTGATACGCTCGCGGAGATGTACCAATGCTTCTACGAGTCCATCGAGGTTATCGGCACTGCCTGTCTGGATGAGACGCACATGGGTAAGTTCATCGACGGCGTTCACTCGACGCTCGAGGATTACAAGGATCGGGCAGCCGCTCGCGAAGAGGAGCAGGGAGGTGAAGATGGTGAGGACGAGTCGGAAGAGATGCAGATGGCCATTGAGGATGACCAAACTCTCCTTTCGGACATGAACAAGGCCTTCCATGCCGTCTTCAAGTATCACGGCGCAGGCTTCTTGCCCTCGTGGAGCCGCCTGCTTGCCACATATAGCAGCTTCCTGAGCTCCAACGACACGACGCAGCGACAATGGGGATTGTGCATCATGGATGATGTTCTAGAGTACTGTGGCGCGGAGAGCATTCACTACGCCCAGTACATCTCCGAGCCTCTGCTCCTCGGCTGCCAGGATGCCTCCCCCGCCATTCGTCAGGCGGCGGCATATGGCATTGGTGTGGCTGCCCACCATGGCGGCCAGGCTTGGGCGCCGTTGGTAGGTCAAGCCGTTGAGGTTCTGTTCAAGGCTACGCAGATCCCAGATGCGCGTATCGAGGATAACGTCTATGCGACGGAGAACGCCTGCGCTGCCATTGCCAAGATCCTGCATTTTAACTCGTCCTCAGTCGCCAACCCCGACCAGGTTGCGACACAGTGGTTTGAGACACTGCCCGTCTTGAACGACGAGGAGGCGGCACCCTACGCTTATGCCTTCATGACCCAGCTCATTGAAAAGTAAGTCTCTTGTCCCGACATGGCTACATGGAAAATATTGACCCCGAAAACAGGCAACATCCTGTCGTTATTTCGCAACCGGCCAAGGCTTTCTACTATGTCGCACAAGCGCTTGAGGTGGACGTTCTGAGCGGACAGACTCTCGCCCGCGTGATTGCCGCTGTCAAGAGTCTGTTGCAAGCCACTGGCACCTCGCCCGACCCCGTACTGCAGCAATTTGGCCCCGAATCTCAGCAGCTGATTCGGGAGCGGTTTAGCAGCTAGAAGCTCTCTTGGGCAGCCTGCAGGCTTGGGAAGGATATGAGATCTTTGATGGGCGCGGGAGAAAGAAAAGCACACCTCGAGTTAAGAGGGTGATTGATATTTGGAAATTAGGATAGAGATGGCAATTGAAGGAGAAGGAAATGACTGGGATGGGCAAGGGAATCGATCATGTTAAGCACGGGGAACATTTGGGCACGCAAATCAGGCCCTGGCTATGTAGGAAAAGAAGGCAGGAGGAGTCACACGAAGTTAAGAGCGGAAATCTGAATTTGATGGAGATACCATGCACTCGCACCACACCGTCCCTCGGGCGCGCGTGCCGATTTATTTTGACACATAAAAAAAACATAAACAGCTATAAAGCTTCTACGACAGCAAAGGGCTATCCTTTTATGCCTACGTTTTGCAATAGGACATGGTGGAGATCAGAAGACTGGATTCCAGCTACACCGTGTGCTTTTCGAGGTTCTTGGAAATAATGGGGTTGGAAGAAGATTCGCATCCCGGCGGGTATGTGCAGTATCATGGCATTGTACATACCTACGAACCGAGATACCCTCGATCCCCGATGGAGGAGGCTATTCAAGGGTCTTGGGGTCCTGGATCCACGCCAACCACCCACCCATATATATATGTACATACCACAAACCTTGGGTCTGTCCTTCCGTCCTGGAACTGAATGGATGCCATGCAGATAGATGTGCCATGATTGCCATGATTGCCATACCATCCATCTCTTCATGTATGTAAGTGTACGTGTCTCTACGTGTTGTATATCTGTTCCACGCTACCGCCAAGGTAGGAGGTATTCCCGCCCTCCCTTACAGGTCGATATTCAAAAGGTCTTGCCATGGTGTAATCGGTGTCTAGTGTGTAAGTGTCTATCAGGGGAGGGAAATTTGAATGTGCGACAACCGACGTCATGTGGTGGAGCAACTTGTTTAGCAATTGTTTAATTGTAGTTACCGACTGGTTAGGTAGTTCTCTGGATTTCTTATAAAGGAGTCAAGACTCTCGTTTTTATTTTGTCTTTTGGCGAGACTTGAGCAGTTTAGCAACGAGGCACGCTGGCACGAACACGACGGGAAAGACAGCAGTTCTGTGAGTTGTGGAGGAGAAAGGCGGAGGAGGAGCCTCAGGGAAGGATAGTGACATGATGTAGAGGAAAGGATGTTGTCCGATGAACAACAACAAACTGGACGAACTGTGGGCGCAACGGCGGAAAAGAATCCGGTTGAACAGAATGGTTGAGAAGCATTCAATCACACCAGGGGCTCTTGGTCAGCCCGGCCATGAGGGATACCTAGGTAGGTAGACCAGGGGAGATCGACCGTGTACTTGTACACGTGTGTAGCATTTTTTCCCTTCTTTTTTCGGATCTGCATTTTCAACCGAAAGACGGAAAAAGGAGAAAAATGGATTGTGGTAAGGTAGTGTACACTAGACGGGCAGATGGGGAAATCGATCGCTGAGATGCGAATCAGGAGAAAATCTCATGTTTTGAACAGAATGCCGTTCGTTGGGCATCGCCCGTTTTGTTTGGATTTTGGGACGGGGAGGGAGGGGAGGGGGGCACTGGAACTCTGGAACTCTGGAAGATCTCCATTCGGGGTGATTTCGGAAAGGCTGAGTAGTCGGTAGTGTAGGTACCATTTGTCAGGGCTCCTCCAGATTCGCAACCTACCTACCAAACCAGTTACTATAACGGACAAGGCGGATGTTGTGAATCCATCTTTTGCTGAATTGTATGTCTTTCGACCTTGTCGTGAGCTTCGCAAGTGCTGATTGAGATATTATGGATAAGAGTTTCCCGGATTTATAAGCCGGCGGGAAATACTCTACAGCGCTTTTTTGATGAAACCTAGGCAGCTGAAATAGATGCCGGAGTGACAAAGTGCGTTGCGGAATCCAGGGTTTCTTTTTCTTGACCGAGACAAGCCTGGAAAGATCTCACTTTGCGTACACACCTTCGAGACAGCGTACACTACACTAGCCCAAAGTGTGCATCTCGTCACACACAAAATTAATGAGGTTGCTTGTTTGAGACTTGAGTTTGTAGAGTCAGGTTGTTATATCCGTACAATATCGTGGTGACTGACTTGATTGGGGTGGCGATGATTGACATCAAATAAACGGTTTTCATTTGAACGGATGTTTTGCTACGGTGGTAGGTAGCCCAGGTGTGGATTGCCGGTTCAAGTTCCATGTGTAGGTTGGTTGCTAAGCACTACACTACACTAGAGACTAGGTGGCAGTTCCGGAGATGCTCGTTTTTTGGCGGCAAGATCATATCATGATGGTCAGGTCTGCTCCAGATTCCATGGTGCGAAGACGGACGGATGATGTTGTGAAAATGAAGCTATGCAGAAAAAGATGGATACATCTTGGTATTAGCACAGGAAAGAATAGACAAATGAACATAAGGCGATCGCGGTTTCCAGGCTAGGGTCCTGGGGATCGGTTGCGACGCTGGGGAGGGGTCCAAGTTTCCAGTTCTCTCTCTCTGGTGGCCCTGTTACAAGTGGAAGTGTGAGAAAATGTGGACAGTGGACAGATGTCGTGAGAAGCCAAAAAGACGCGACCCCTTCTTCGTTACGAAAATACCTTACGACAACAAAAAAAATCACTTAGCCTCATGAGACGCTTCAGTTTTGTTCCACTATACTCCTTCTTGAGAGGTCTCATGTCGTCCATTTTTCTCACGGATGCACACGCTCCCGTCCGTCTTCATGAGCTAGTACGTATTATGACTACTAATACGTGTACCCCGAAAAAGGTCGGTCGGTGCTGCGCTGTTGCTGGAAATTTCCAGCTGGTTGACCGGCTTCCAGGCTAGCGGTCGCCAGACAGGGCGATGCCAGGGTACAGTAGCAAGGTTGCAACGAGGGAGAACCAAGCTTGGCCGGGAAAAGAGCAAGGGAGCCAGGGAGCATCATTGCTGTGGAGTCAACACATCATGGTTGAATACGTACCCAATAACCAGGCATCGTCGTGACTTGGACAAGGTCATGAAGTCAGGGTCCAAGGAAAGGAAGGGGAAGAAGACGGGCTTCATGATTTTCTTCAATGTTCTGTGTCTTGCTGAAGCTGGCGGCGTCGTTGCCGGTGTCCTGTCGGAAATCGGAATCTGGTACACTGGAGACGCCGTTTTGTAAAACAGATTATCTGGTATCATGACTGACGTCGGCTTCGGGAGACTTGGCGGGTTATGCCAGGCCTTGACGTTCAGCATGTGGCACGTCTTGACCTGCAGTACTGATGGTTTGGAACGGATTTACATTTTGACATTGCATGATTGCAGACTGGAGCGGGATGATCCGGGAGCGCAGGGTCACCGTCTTCTTGGATGGGATTCTCAACTTTCTCAGGGTCCTTTTCCCAATGAGGATGGGACTTCGGGGACGGTGGTGCTGTTGCCAAGTGCTGCCCTCTGAGGCCTGCATACCGCTTCCTCTCACTCAACTGGGTTTTATCTACCCGCAAAAACTAAACCTACTCTAGTTTAGGTCGCTGGTACGGTTAGATCATCCGCTCCAACCGCTGCAGGTCACTTGCATGCCAGCTGTCAGGTCTAGCGTTGAGTGGTTCGCTAAGTCTGCCGGCCACGATGGCGCTCCAGTTTTGAAGTGACCCCAGATACACTAGACCGTAACAGCGTTAGATAAAACCCGGTTTGATGAGAGGAAGCGGTATCATTTCAGCTGACAGACCCCAACAACAAATTGGCGACGACGTGGACGGGGGCACGCCAGCCGGCCAAGAGTCCGGGACCCCGAGATGACGGGCCGGGGTCGTGGGCGACGGTTGGAAACAGGGCAGGGCAGCACAGGGCAGCACACATCGCAATGCCCTCATTTTGGGACCAAAAAGGACGCATTTCCCGGCATTTTGGTTGCTGGAGAATGGGCCATGGGTGGATTAGGTAAATATTAGACACCCCCCTCCCAATTCAGGCTTTCAGCAATGTGGGTAGGGAGACCCGGGAAGTGGTGCGGGATTGGCAGGCCCTGTGATGTGCTCTCGGCTGCCAAGACTGGACCAAAAAAGAGGGGCGCGCAATGTCTGCCGACCTCTGCGACTCGCTCTCGTGGTATCTGCGAGCTTCCTGAGCCTTCGCCGTTCGTCGGCTCGGCCGCCAAGAAGGGAAAGGTGCAAAGGGACCCCGCTCTTTTCCGGAAGCGTTATCAAGTGTGGATCCTAGTGACTGGAGCTGCAGCAAATCTGCGTCGCAGGACCAACGGCCGGCTGCAGTTCCTCACTCCATTAGAGGTCGACTTGGAAGACTGCGCTAGTGTCAGTTACGAAATTTACCGTCAGGGTAAGGAAAAGATGGTTTCGCTGACAGCACGTGAAGGCGCTTGGCATTACCCGCTTAGTGAGGTTGTCCTGAAGGTACGTCCCTCAGCCCTCAAAGCCCGCCAACTGTGAGTTGATGTAGGTACTTCAGCGGCTGAGCACGAACTTGTGCACGGTTCCTGTACGGTCAGTCAGACTCTGAAATGTAATGGTAATGAAAGAATGCCATTTTTACCGTTCCTTATCGACCCCTACACTCCATGGAGTTCAAAGGCAGCAATTGGGGTACACTTGTGAGCAAAAAGAAAGCCTCCAAAAAAAGCGGATTCGTCTCCAGTTCTCAGGTTCCAGTTCTCAGGTTCCAGTTCCAACCCAAGAACAGTTCCATTTCACACGAGCAAGACGTGGATGCGGCCACCCGCCCCATTGCATCACACAATTCATATTCTAGTCCATCGAATTGTGTTTTCCCAAAAACACCGTCTTTGTGATACCCGACCCATTCTTTTGGGCAACCTCATATCATCCTTGTTTTTGACTCGACTATCGACTCGGGAGCTTCTCGAGCGCGCTCCCCGCCCTCCAGCTTGCAACTACCTTACCTACTAAGCAGTTTCGGCTCATCAGATTCTTACCATCTTGTCGCTTCTCACCTCTCACAGCCCTCGGGACACGCTCCGTTCAAAATCGACTTCTGGGATTCC